CACATTAAGATCTTATTCAAATTGAGTGTAAATTTTGGTCTGAAAATCTTTCTACGCATCAATTCAATCATGATTAATAGAATAACATGGGTGCGTTCTATATATCGCATATCTTGTACATGTTTCCAAGTCTAAGCAAATTTGTTTAATTGTCAGTGCGATGTTCAACTCACATATCGTTCAGTTCTGCTCCTGTTCCATATAGTGTTGAGCTATCGAAATAGTGCAAATAATGACACTCACAATAAAATTGTGTGCCATCGAGACTGCAGACATACACATGGTTTTATGTGTGTTTGCAAAACGGTAACGGGATGATTTTCAATTTAGACAGAAAATATTTGAGCTTAATGAATGCTTTGTGGCGTTATTCAAATGCGTTTTGTCTCTGTCATTAGAATATTTTTGGCGTTAGGTGACAAAGAGGGGAGTTGGGTGCATCCGAGTAACTTTTGTGAATAACTCAACCACATACCATTTTCATCTCTTATAAGTCAGCAATCGCACTTCATTATAGCGAAAGTTGAAACACATGTAATTGTGCCAGTCATTTGAATGCGTTCACAATTCAATGGAGAAAATGTTTCACACATAATTGCATGCGATTCAAGCGATTTCTTGTGATGGGGGTAAAATACACAAATCCAGCACAGTCAGAAGTTTTCGATTGATCAGACGAATGAATTCAAAATGCCAGAGCCAAGTGAATATCTTTATTGTACAGACAGTTCAATATTCAATAAGAGACCATTGTGCATTGGAAAATCAATTGATTCGAATGCCAGCCATTCATTTGCACACACTTCAATGGAAACAGAGGAATTTACTGAATCAATTTTCGAATCAAGATTTCGACGCTTCTCTCTCGAATCTTATTTGGTATTTGGTGAACTTATGAGCTGATTGCAGACTGCACATTATTCGCATTCGAACCAATCAGTTTCATGCGAATGAAAAGAATTGATAATCTGCAAAACAAGTCTGTTTTTAATTGAAAATCTTCATGGAAGACCCAACACCCTGGCACTGTTAATTCATGTCACTTCACACGTAAATTTACATTTAAACGAACATCTGAACGCTTCCATTCTTCCAATTTATGTAGGATGTTGCACTGGTGAGCTACGAATGAATACAATTTTCAGCGCTTGATTGGATTTAGTTTGGTTAAGCGGATAACCGTTTAAAATCTGTGTATATTTCATCGTATTTCAAAACAGTTGGATGTTTTATTAGAACACAGAAAATTAATTATTTCAAAACAATCAATGCCAGTTAGTGTTGGCCGTCAAACACTTTCGAACGCTTGTTCGTTCGTTCGACATGGTTTTAAAAAAAGGTTTTGTTCGTTCGTTCGTTCGACATTCATTTTGTTCGATGTTCGGTCCGAACAAACATTTTTTTACATCAGAAAATTCGATGTATTGACCAAATTTATAATGTAATCGTTACAGCTCATGCTTTTATTAGCTTTTATATTTTCTTATAATTTTTCATAGTAATACCAATTTTATTCGGGAGATTTTGAAATAAAAAAACTTTGTTCGGACCGAACATCGAACAAAATGAATGTCGAACGAACGAACGAACAAAAAAATATTTTTTTAAATTGTCGAACGAACGAACGTTCGAAGCCATCACTAATGCCAGTGCGGTAAAAAGTGATTTGGCTGTCCGAATATCGCCGATTTGGGAAAGTTTTGTTGTGTTTAAGCCATTTGACCAATTCAATGGATACCCATTGAAAAAGTCCAAACCGACTCTACCTACATCCCTCTGGTCAATGGTGATTTATGTGGGAGTCGGGCACACAAATAGCACAAAACCTGAAAATGCTGAATTCCAATTTTCCAGCACAAGTATTGTATGGATTTGGGTTTTAAAGTTCGGCACATTTCGACTATAGGCATTTTGACTGTTGAAATGTGGTAAAACTATAACATTGTTGCTTTTCATGCTGTTACTGTGCTGCGGTGTAACAATGAATTATGATGAAATTGAGAAAATCGCCTTGTTTCGGTGCACATATTTTACAATCGTATCACATCGACCATTGTGAAGAGATGTTTTTGTATCGATAGTTTGGCGTCGCAAAAGTTCATTAAGATGTAAATTTTAATGAGTTTTCTATCATTTAATTCACGCTAACAAGGGAAATTTCGCCAAAATATTTTTCGATAATCATCAGACATTCACTTTTGTTATTGAAATCCATGCGTGAGTTGAATTTTAATGCGTTGTTGAAATATTTCTATGCCACATTTTCGTTACAAAATGCATTGCACATGATGTTCATACAATTTTCAATCGGGCATTCGGAGGAATTTCCCAGCATGAACCCTTTTTGAGATTCATTGTGATTTCCATGTATTTTTAGTATAAAAGAGCCTTACCCAAAATGTGCACTTTGCACCGCAATTGATTCTGCATTAAAAAGCATTCGAAGGTTTTCTTTAGTTTACTGTGAAATTGGAACAATAAATTTTTCATCAAAGAAACCAGCTTAAGTAAATTTTCCTTTTCAAACTTACTGCTGTGCAAATATCGTTAGAATTTCCGGAAAAAGAAACTTTACTTAATTAGTGCTAAGTGCTTACATGTAAGCCACATATCAAAATGTACGAAAGATCCAAATTTGGGGAAAACTATGCTACCTGTGTAGACGAACCGCAAAAATGCATGAAGCAATTTGATGCGAATGGCATTTGAACTGGTTTTTCATACGAATTAAATTATGGCGTGAATCGACAACAAAGTCGAATAATAAAGTCATCGCAACGGTAAACGATAAAATAGTGAAAACGAGAAAAGTTTTGCGGAAGTCGAGAAAAAAATGGTGCAAAAAATCAAATTACGCAGTAACCACGGGTGCTGTCATGAAATATCACAAAAATTCACTGGAAAAAAAGTGCATATTGTTCGATACTAAGGGAGGTGGTCCAGTTGTGAGACGGGTTTTGTTTTTGACCGAAGAAAGTATAGTGATTCCAGTTGCTCGAAAAAAAATTTGACCAATTTTGTGAGGACTAGTTTTTTGGCCCCAATATTTATTTTGGTGCAGTTGTTAGACACCCAGAAAAATTGAATAAAATGGGAAAATAAGAAGAAAACTCATCATAAAATGTTGAAATATAAATGTTTATTTATTTTAAAGGCCTTCAATGGCTGAAATAATTAAAAAATGGGCCTTCAATGGCCTTAAATGACAAGGTCATATCAATTTTCATTTTTTGGAGTGGACATGGCTGAAAATTCGAAAAGATTAGTTGAAACACAATTCCAATTGCATATAAATGCGTTATGGCAACAAAAATGACGAAATGTGACGTTTCTATATGCTTTCAGTACAAAATATAAAGTGTCTCACTACTGTGTTTCACACCCGGGCCGTGACGCCATTTTGAGCATGACTCACAAAATTTTTTCCACAACACATACATAGGTAATATTAAAATTTCATTTTTAAAATTATCATTTTAATATTCATCGAAAAAATTACGTAAAAAGTCTTTATGCATATGTTCTCCCTTTGGTTTTTTCGAGGAAAAATATACCGATATTAAATTCGAATCAATTTCAATATTTTTACGAAGATTGGATGTTTCGCTTCTGATATTCAAACAAGGCAGTGCCTTGTAAGCACACTTCAACCAAATGCATGTCAAAACTTGGAAAGGAATATCTGGTCGAATCGATTGACCACAATATGAGTAAAATAGTTCCACGAATGGTCCAGATCCAATTATCACATTCAGATACAAAGGCATGAGTTTTCATTTCCAATGAAATGTTTCGACCTGAACAAACATGTGTTTTAAGATTGCTGAGCATCTCAGCATTTCGTAAGGCACGGATATATCCGAGCATATCGACGACGCATACTGTATAATACAGTGGCGTGTGTATCTACGTGCAGCCGCAACGACTCGACCGATGTGTGTTCAGTTGATGTGGCTGCACGCAGCAACAACATACACATTCCGGTCGAGTCGTTGCGGCTGCGCGTAGCAACACACGCCACTGTATGCGTCGTCGATATGCTCGGATATATCCGTGCCTTACGAAATGCTGAGATGCTCAGCAATCTTAAAACACATGTTTGGACCTGAAAAAAAAAGAATTACATTTTCAATATTACAGCACAATTTCAAAAGATGTTAATCCGATTCCGTTGACTTACTTATTCTGTGGAGCACATATTGCCGGAACTTTGTAAGAACAACAAAAACACTAGCCGAAATACTTTTTTCTTTCATTGGAACTGCAGAAAAAGCGAACAAACATTTTTAACATTTCACTTATATAATTGACAGAACAGAAAAAAGTGGGAGTTTTTCTATGAAAAAGAAGAAATTCCATTTTTCACAATGGTTGCTCAGGATTTCAACTTTGTTTCTCTTTACTTTTGGAAGAAAAAGACGCAGTGTGTTTTCACAACTTCAACTGTTGGAACACTATCACCTTTTTTAACTGTACCAAATTAATTAGCTAATTAAACTGGATAAATGTTTTTCGATGAAAAGTTCAGAAGAAAATTTTAGTCTGTTAGCAAACACACAACGCAAGTGGAATAAGAGCCAAATAACCCATTTATTTTATGAATGCAAAAGAGAGATTAGAAAATAAAACTATTTCTTGAGAGATAAATTCAAACAAAAAAATCTGACGTTAATAAAACAAAAGAAAAGAGTATAAAAACGAAAAAAAAAATTATATTCAACGGTTGTCAAGTTAGACATTGCACAAGCCAGCAAGTCAAAGAAATGAATGATTTTTATTGAAATCATAGCATCACCTTGGTCGGCGCATTTATTCGGATTCAAAACAACAATACTTATTCTATGAGTATACATTTTATCTTATGTTCGAAAAACACCTTGTTTCAAGAGATTATACCATAGTCACCATCAAATAAATCTGGCTAAAAGATCAATGTGATACTATCAATATTTGATGATAGTTGAACTAAACTCAGGCTTTATGCAAATAAATCGCACAAATTTGAAATAGTTAAACATTTAGTGCTTTATTTCAACCAAGTCATAATTAATTTTTCAAACGAATATGTTCCAATTTGCAGTCATAGTTAATTTTCGGATGACAAATGTTTCAGAAGTTATTCAAAATTGAATCCTCATGTACTGCCATAAAATCAATAACCCAGCCGGTGCCCGCAAAATTTATGCTGTTTTTGAAGTGTACCTCCAACCGACTAGATTTGGCTCTATATGGTGCTGGTTCATCGGTACCGCAAAACTTGGTCGGTGGCACAGTATCATCGTTCTCAATAAGTTCCACATAGTTTGAATCACATGTTGCTCTCAGTCCCATATCAAACACTAAATTTCAAGTGAAGAAAAGCAAGTTATTGGAAATATTCTGAATTGATGCATCTGTGATGTCTGTGTTGAATTTACCTGGAAAACGTACGGCAACCAGCAAATTCATTGGAACACTTATTATCCATGTACAATCGAGCGAATTGTTTCGATATGTATTGGGGTAGCCAGGACTTGTGAATGTTCCACCGTAGTTGTATAGCGCACCACCACATCCTCGACCTATTCGACAAAGTCAGTTTCAGTACTCGTTTATAGTGGATAAAATCGATTGTGATAAAAGCATTACTATTTATTACCTTTATCCGTTACCAAATAGGTGATGTCATATTCTTCACTTGAAACGTGGGCATGTGAAATATTTTTGAATTTTAATTTCAAAAGATTGGTTGCCGTGAAGAGAGGATCTGGTATACTATCAGCGCAATACGACTCAAGTAGCTCATTATTTCTGCCATTATAAATCTTTGAAATTCAAAGCGTTAATTGAAATATCATTCGATATTATTGAGCTGTACCTGAATGGATAATTGGAATTTGACTTACTTTCAACGGTGTATTATCTACGGTGCACTCGCGATTCAAAAGGAAACTCAATGAAGTAAAATACAAAGTAATTGTATAATTTTCTGGAACGCTAATATACGATTCACAGTCGGATAAATCCTTTCCAAATATCCGACCTTGTGGCTGCGTGTAATTTTGTGCGCATTCTGTGAATTGACCAATTATCGGAAATGGTTTTATGTTTCATTTTCTCAATTGCTAATTGGATTAGAGAGTAAGTTAACGCAATAATTTACCAGAGACGATTTTTGCGGTGAATCTAAAACCGCTCGCTTCATCCTTTTCATTCGATTTAAAGCTCACCGAAATGGTTCGATATGATGAGAAATAATCAATTGGAATATTGTTTCCGCAGTAGCGATGCGCTGCATTCGGCCATTGTCGACCTATTTGAAATGATAATAATATGAGTGAAATGCTAAGTTGACTATGAAAACGGTGAAATTTACCTCGGTAGAAATATTGTTTCTTTGATTTCGTTGATCCAGAGAATAACACATTTTGTCCAACGCCCTCGCGTACATACTGATACGTCTGAAAATGAAAATAGTGATTAAAACCTCGTTTCAACCAGAACAATTTTGTATATGAAAATGTTTACCCCATCCTCTTTATCATCGGTAATTTCCAAGAAATCGTTTGTGCATTTGTCTTGATCGTCTGCTTCCAATTCGAACTGTTCAAAATGAACTTTAATCAATTTATCAACATCAGCGGAAATATGCCAAATGCAATTCATATTTGGCATATACAAGTGCCTATTCATTGGCGATTGAATCGTAATGCTGCTCAGTGAATCGTTCAAATGGTAGGTACTTGGACCACACGGTGTTTCCACCATGTCCAAATCGATGCTAAAACCAGAGCCCGAGCCAATGTTATCGGTAACAAATCGCATGTACAAACTTGGAGTGGACGACAGAATATCTGGTGGATTCGAGTGACCACAAAACGAACCAAATGGTTCCGAGTATTGGCCATATCCATCGCGTACATTCAAATAATCACACGTGCATGAGTTATTAACTGCAATAGTTACGCACGGCACCAAATGCATTTGATTAAACTTTGCTTTAATCACATAGCCTTTGGGCGCATTTATGAAATATTCGCATGTGAGCATCGACTCGTATTGATCGGTTAGTTTGTTCAGAGTGTATTTCGGCTGGTCATGGGTTAAATGTATGTGTTGACTACAGTTTTTCGTGAACAAAATCAGTACTGTGAAACCTTTTCGATGATCCGATTCATCACTGACAAACTTGACGATGGCTTTGTTTGAATCAACAACAACAACCGGAGCGTGTGCGGTGAGATTTCCACAATATCGAGCTTTAAGATTATTCTCAACCGTGCCATGGCCCTCATAAACTGTCACATAGTCATAACTGCAGCTCCCATGGTCCTCCAAATCAAACTGTTCAAAGCGAATGACAATGTTTTTGTCACTTGGTGCAGTGATGTACCAAACACACGATGCCACCGGTAGATATGTTTCATAATAATTGTCATCAGTTATGCTTTCAATTCGTTTCGATGTTGTTATATTGCCTCCACATCTATCAGTGCTAAACTCGAATTTAAAACCGCTCTCCTCATATTCTGAATCGGTTCGAAACACCAAATCGATTTGTGATGTGTAACGGAAAGTGATCAGCGAATTTTTCGTACAATATGTTCCAACTTTTTCCATTGCATCTTCGTACGATGATTGTTTCTTATAAATTGTAATATTATCAAAAAAGCACGTTATGCCTTGGTATTCTAGATCGAGCTTTAGGAATTTCACTGTAACAGACTGTTCATCGTCAGCGATTATCGAATAATTGCAGAAAGCATTCTTGGGATAGAGATCAGGATAGCGTGGACTTGTTATCAACTGTGGAACATTTGTTGCCTTGAATATGCCACCACAGTTTTCTGACCATTGTGCTGTAAAACCATCGCCATCACCATCGCCGTCCGTGCGGAATAACACTTTCATTTCGCGACCCGTTGAATTTAAAAATTGTGGCGTTTCTCGTCCACACAATCGTTTGATTTCTTTGAATTCGCCATTGACCTTGTTGAACACCTTCACATAATCTTTGGTGCAATTGGTACTGGTTTCGATCATAAAACGATTGATAAACGTCAAACCAACATGGTAACCATTTTGAGCACGTATAATCCATTCGCATTCAGCGTTGGGTGGATACTTGGTACCAATTTTCGGACTCGAAAACACATAATTGGATGCAACAAGAGTGCCGCCGCATATACCGTCCGATGACACGATATCAATGTCAAAACTCTCGAATGGATTGTAAGCTTCAGTGTGGTACTCAACATATGCACTCTGTCCGCTGATGTTGATCGTTTGATTCGATACTGTGTCTCCGCAAATTTGACTGACTCTCGGCCCATTCGAAGTCTTGCCCCAATAAATGTTTATGTATTCTGTATCGCAGTTCATTGCCGGCGCATTGAGTATCATTCGAATGTTATGCACAGTGTTTGTGTTGTACTGCCAAGCACAGTCCAGTTCGCCATAATTCAATGCAAGTGTCGTCGGATTCGAAATTTTTGTCATTGTTTCCGTCAATATTCCACCGCAATTGTGTACTTTGTACTGGAATCGATATTTGAATGTGGTCGTAAATATCATTTGTGGGATGTTTCGCAACGTTAGTTTTGTGCTAGAATAAGGCGACGCGATGTTATCATATTTAGGTGGGCATTTTGTGAAGATAGTACGATTTTCGTTTGCAAAGAAAATAACCGAAATACCCGTCGATAGTTTCGGTATACATTGCGGGCGCAATGATTCGTCCAATATTTTGATTGAAAGCGTTCCGTTGTTTGGTTGTGGTTCGAGGAATGGTCGTTGTGAATCCCATGTGAATTCACAGTAGAATCGTGTTACATTCTCAGGAAAATGGAATGTTCCTTCGTTTCCATTCAAGTTGCCCTCACACACCGTTGGCTCATCGGATGTGAAACGCATTTTAAACCCACGACTGGCTAGTGAATAAATTGCCAACTTATTATCAGTTGAATACACTATTGCTGGTTGCGCCATTCGATTATTGCCAAAAAACGTTTTAATGTAACTTGTAAACCCAAAATCATTGAAAAAATTAACATGAAACAATTCATCCGTCCCGGAAACAATTGGATTTACATCAAGTACTTCAACTTTGACTCGGTGACCTTTCGGTACAGTTATCTTCCACACGCAATTTCTAATTGTGTCCAAATTAAATGGATAGCTAGGACTTTGAATGATACCAGTTGAAGCTTCGATGCTTGCACCACAAACGTCCCTGGTGGATTGGAACATAAACCGGAAACCGGTGTACAAATTATTTCCAGACTTCGAAACAAATCGGATCAAAGCCATTGCGTTAAATGTTAAAATACTGTCTGGTATGGTATTGCCGCATACTTTTGTTACTTCTGCTTTGCTCGAAATTCCATCGGCATTTCTCAGCATTGAGTAGATTTCGATGTGATCAACATCACTGCAATTGTCAGCCTCTGGTAGATCCAAACTCAGGAATGTTATGTTCAGTTCGGTTCCAGTGCGACCGGTTATATGGTAATCGCAAGTGGTTTGTGTTGGATATGCTCCTGTGGATCGAATTGAAGAAAAAAACACGAGCGTCACATTAGTTTTCATGATTAAATTCTTTAAAGTTCTGAATCCAAAATTACCTCTTCCTGGGAATCCTGGACTCGATATAAAGCCACTGTTTGCCATGATCGATTTGCCGCAGCGTGCAAATGAGACTTTAGCTTTGAATCCATTCTTTGGTACCAAAACATCGGTGAAATACATCAAACGCACCATATTTGAAGAAGAGAAAATTGGAAGTGGTTTCACACTGCAATATTTCCCAATGACCGGAGAACTAGCCGTACTACTTTCACGCACTTCAACATACTCACTCGTACAATTGGCCGTCGATGTTAGATCAAAGCGTTGCAAAAATTCAATTTTCATTAGTTCGCCGTTCGGTGCCGTTACACGCCACACACATTCAATGTGAGCACTTGGAATGTTTGGATAATTTGGCGTACTGATAATGGTTGAATTGGTGTTGTGGTCAAGCGTAAATGAGCCACCGCAATCATATTCAACTTGTTCATATGTAAGAACGAATTCGTTTAATGTACGGAATGTACGGTTTCTGACAAATTGCACGATTGCCTTGTTGCTACTGGTCTCCGGGATCACTGGTGAGTCTCCGCAATATTGGCCCAAACCTAGGAATGGCGAATCGTCATGAATGCCATTTCTAATAATGATATAACTGTTACACGATCCATCGTCATTTTTCACCAAATTGAGTGTTTTAAAATCGAATTGAATTGTCCGGCCATGATCTACACTAACAGTCCAAGTGCATGTCTCATTCATTCTGAATTGTGATTGATTCGATACGATCATCCGATTGGTTATTTGACCCTGTGGCGACTCAAGCAAACCACCACAATCTAACACCACAATACCTTCGAAACCAGTACGAGTGTCTGAAACATCCGTTTGGAATTGTACTCTCAAGTTTGGTGTGCCATGGAATCGATGAATTGGTGCATTTTCATCCATGGTACACATTCGTGAACTTTGTTGGAATTGTTGCATATCGGATCCACTGCCAACGCGCACATAATCAGCTATACAGTCGTTGGACGATTCTAGATCAATGGTCGTAAATGAAATGCTAACGTGATATCCCATTCTCGGCAAAAATGTCCATTGACAGATTGTGTTGTCATCATAACCACCCGGGAAACCTGGTGATTGTATTTTCAAAATGTCCGCTTCGCTAGCCCTTATCACGGAATTTCTTGAACAATTCAAACTATTCGTTTCTTTGTTTGATTCATAGGCCTCTGATTCCGACACCTCATTCCAAACCAACATGAATTTTGACGCACTGAATGTCGGAATTTCAAATTCAACAAAAATCACATTTGTGCTCGATAGAATTGGTTCAGTTGGAATGTCATCACTTTTGATGGTTTCTAAAATATCCGAAGCTTCATCATTTCCATCATAGATCGAAATTTGGCTAACACCATTTAGAATGCAATTTTCAATGGTAACTCGTATCAAATTATCCAGAGCCACTATGATACGCCATTTATACGAACCAAGCGTGCGATATACGTAAGATGGATACATCATGGATGTGATGACACCGCTTTGACCGGTTTGCTCAACAAATTTTGCTAAAAGAAATGATAGAGAGGAAGATAAAATAAAACGGAAAAGTTGATAATCGGTGTTGAATTTTCATAGGTCCGTAGTTTGAATTACCGTAGCCATATTCAAGTCTAAAACCACTACCAACGCCATCGTTATCACTACGGAATTTCAACCAATAAGTGGTCACCCGTGGCAATGTGGGCAGTATACTACTATTAGTACCACAATACACTCCGATCATCTTTCCGACACTGTTTCCCTCACGAACTTCCAAATAATCACCATTACAATAATCGGTTTGATTAATATCCAACATATCAATGTTGATCTCCATTTCGTTGCCAGGCGATGCTTGGATCGTCCATTCGCATTCTATATTGTTTTTGTAACTAAAGAGAAACGAATGGGTTAGTCGCTAAAGGTGAATCAATAAAAAAAGTGATCAAATATTATACCAAAGTATGACTTACGGTTTTGGATAACCAGGCGATGCTACAAACAGAAAGAAACAATGAATTAGCATGGAACTGAGAAGAGCTGAGCGGTTTAAAACTTACCAATTTGACCATCAATCGAGCCGAAATCTCCACCACATTCTATGAAGCACAAATGAAAATTCATTTATTTAAATTTTCCAAAAATCCAATCCCAACAATTGAGACTCTCACAAAGAAAATAAAACTTTACCAGTATCTAAGACGGTGTAAGCTGCTTTCAAGTCGAATTTGGAGGTAGAATCTTGTGCGCTGACATCGGAAATCGATAATGTAAGTGAGTTACCTTCACTAGTGATTGGCGGGGGATGTTTGCTTGAACAGATTTCAGTTATTTTCGGGGAGCTAGTTGATGTACCATCGTAAACCTATGATGGATTCAAAATGAAATTTTCACCAGATTGTCGAGTTTTTGATTTTAACAACTTACATAAATCTTTCGCAAGCATTGACTTGAGGGTAAGATAGGCTCGTTGTCCATGTGCATAATACTCAAAGAGACATGTTGAACTGGAACAAAAATGCAATAATTTTTCTCATAACTGATATAAATTCATAATCATACTTGGATCGTTTGCAGTAATAGTCCATTCACAGCCGTTGGCTAGCCATCGTAGATTATGACCAATTTCCAAAATGCCACTGGATGATGTGTTGATTTTTGATCCACAGGACTGAAATAAAAGAAGTACAATATGATTTCAACTGTCGTTTCCAAAAATCAAGTCGATTTTCGAATACCGTTTCAAATTTAGCCGCAAAACCTTTGGCTGTAACCGAGGAATCTGTTTCCATCACAATAAGCATTTCATTGGCTGACGATTTAAGTGGCTTAGTGAATCCAGGACGAGCGGTTTGATTGCCTGAATCTGGTCCAAATGTTTGACTACCGCATGTCTTCAACAAAAGTTTGTCTTCATTCATTTCTGATCCGTCATAAATGCTAACATGATCATCCGTACATCGATCCTCCAGATCAAAGTCAGTGTATTGGAATGAAATTGTGTGTGATACTTCAGTTCGAAGTAGCCATTGACAGTGTATATTTTCTGGATAGTTGTTTGGATAGTTCAAACTGGTGATATTCCCTTGAGCACTGGCAAAGATGCCACCACATTCTACATGGAACAATGGAGAGGAGATATTTACAAGCTTTCGATTAGATCTACCGTTTTAATTCGATAAGATGAATTGTTCAATCTGTGCAATCCACACTTACGGGCTGGAACTGATTTATACGTTGCGGAGAATCCTCTGCCCGGAGAAGAAAAATCACTGTAAAAATGCACATAAACCGTATTTTCGCTCGAAGTGACCACCGATTTTTGATTATTTTGAATAGTACCGCAGAATCTATTTATTACTTTTGTTGCATTGGCATTGTTTGACACCTAATAAAATACAATTGGAATTATTTGAAATGAAAATACCGTCTACAAAAAGCTCCGTGACGCTAGCCCCCCCGGTTCCAAAATTTAAATCCGAGCACGGTTTCGTGTTCTACGCAATTTCTGCTGATTACTGCTCGCTCCGCAGAATTTCTGCTGCAACCGGTGACGAGCAGTAATTGCCCAAAGTTTCGAAAAATTCCATGAAAATCGATTTTTCGCATATTTAAAGGTTTTGCCCCAAAAATTAATTCCAAACTAAATTTTGAACATTTTCATGATCTAAGGGCTGATAATGAAGAATCTAGGGGCCCTCTAATTTCTGCCCGCTCCCCACAATTCCTGCTCCAACCGGTGACGAGCAGTAATTGCCCAAAGTTTCGAAAAATCCATGAAAATCGATTTTTTGCATATTCGAAGGTTTCACGCCAACAGTCAATTCCAAATGAAGTTTTCAATATTTTGATGACCTGGTGGCTGATATTGAAAGGTCTAGATGCCCACTAATTTCTGCTCGCTTCTCAGAGTTCCTGCTTCAACCAGTGACGAGCAGGAATTCGACCAAAATTGAAAAAAAAATGTATGAAAATCGATATCACAGTGCAACAAAGTTTAGGTAGGTCCATGTCACCAGCACCGCCAGTGTTGTTAAACCATAATATGTTATAATTAATGCTCGAATATTGCTGGCAGATACCACTTCCAGATTGCAAAAATCTTGTCTAGGGGCTGAGCACTAATCGTCAATATTTTTGAAAAGTAGATTTTCGGTACATTCAAAAGGCAAGTACATGAAATCGAATTTTTTTCGTATCAATGTAGCTCTATGACTCCTGTTCGAAAAAGTGAATCACTGTTTTACAATTGAGTCATGAAGTGAGTAATCGAAATGAGTCATAATCGAACTCATACATTGTCCAAAGTAAGTCAAACTTCTTGCGACCGGCTCTTCATGAGTCATAAGAAACGAATTAGATTATAACTCCATTTTAGAGCCAATGAGTCAGTCGAGTCAAAGAATTAGAATTGATATGAATATGACTCATTGAATGCGTGAGTATACCGAAAATCATGAAAAATCTACATACAGTATTGGTGCGCAAAACAGAAAGTCATGACTTTTCGATTATGACTCATTCAATTATGAGTTATATTGTGACTCACTTCATGACTCAATTGTAAAACAGTGATTCACTTTTTCGAACAGGAGTCATTGAGCTACATTGATACGAAAAAAATTCGATTTCATGTACTTGCCTTTTGAATGTACCAAAAATCCACTTTTCAAAAATATTGACGATTAGTGCTCAGCCCCTACACAAGATTTTTGCAATCTGGAAGTGGTATCTGCCAGCAATATTCGAGCACTAATTATAACATATTATGGTTTAACAGCACTGGCGGTGCTGGTGACATGGACCTACCTAAACTTTGTTGCACTGTGATATCGATTTTCCTACATTTTTTTTCCAATTTTCGTCGAATTCTTGCTCGTCACTGGTTGAAGCAGGAACTCTGAGAAGCGAGCAGAAATTAGTGGGCATCTAGACCTTTCAATATCAGCCACCAGGTCATCAAAATATTGAAAACTTCATTTGGAATTGACTGTTGGCGTGAAACCGTCGAATATGCAAAAAATCGATTTTCATGGATTTTTCGAAACTTTGGGCAATTACTGCTCGTCACCGGTTGGAGCAGGAATTGTGGGGTGCGGGCAGAAATTAGAGGGCCCCTAGATCTTTCATTATCAGCCCTTGGATCATGAAAATGTTCAAAATTTAGTTTGG